AWTWAAAAAAAAAATCCTTAGAGGATAGAATTAGGAGATGATGTTTTGTGTCCTACCCGACTCCAGCTCTCGCTGYGTGTGCAGAACATGCCTTAGCTGTCCTCAAACATGCTTGTTGGCAGCAGCAGGGGCAGCGGCTTCTCTCTTTCATGGACCCCATGTACAGTATCTTGCTCAGTTCCTCCACCTGAATTTGTTTCTTTTTAGAGATAATTTGGCACGTATTGTCATCCCTTTCTCTGCACAAACATTTCTACCCTGCCAGACGTAGACAGCAATTTTTAAAACATCCACCTCACAAACACTGCTAAAGGTAATGGTGTTTGTATTGTTCTGTTCTCGTAGCTTCAACATTCCTACCATCTGATTTCTCTGTTTTTCCCTAGTGTTTAGAGTCTCTAATCCCAGAACTGTGATGCAGATGGAACCCTTGCAGCACGTTTAGGATGCACCACGCAGTCAGGTTGTARTTTACAACCAGGCTCTGTGTTTCTGAAGGTTAACCTGAACTGTTTTCAGTTTTGGTGTGTGTCCTCTCCCTGGGCACCTGTTTTGCCAAAGATATGAGTCCGTCACAGCCCTAGCTATTAGGTTTAGGGGTTTGTGCTTCCAATTCTGGAGGCTGCTATTTAGCTGCCATTGCCAGAGACAGAACTGTTGTCATTACACGCAGGCAAATCCACCTGTGTAATAAAATTCTGCAGGAAATGGAAAGCTATTCTTTGCATTACAYATCGAGGGATTAACTGCTTTCTTCTCTCAACAACTGAGGCTTGTGCTTTGCTGTGTTTTGGTTCCTGCATGTAAGGTGATTTTCACTCGGTCCCGCTTCATAATAGTCAGGAGAACAACTATGAAATTTAAGAGCTCTAGTTTTCTCTTAATTGGAAAGCCAGTTGCCAAAATGTAATCTGGAGATCACTGCCACTCTGGGAGGCTGTGCCAAGGAACTTGTAGAGTTTAATGGGTAGAGCTACCCGTTAATTAAAATTTTGCTGATGTGCATGCAGTGGTGATGCAGTGATTTGTGATCCAAAGTGCTGGGAAGATGGTGCTCTGGAGGGCCAGGCTCGTGTGTCACTGTTGGCTCCTTGTGGTGACAGCAAAAGGGTTTGGGGCTCCCTGCTGCCTCCAGAGCCGGGTTTGGCTCTGTGGTGGCAGCGGCGCCGCTCCTGCCTGCGCTCGTGGCTCCGGTTCCACCGCAGCAGCCCAGACCCCTGCCAGGGAAGCCACTTCCCAGGCTGGATGGAGAGCTTGATCTTTGCAGTGATCCATGGCAGGCAATTCCAGGCTCTTCTGGTGCCTCCAGCTCCCTCGGGGTGGATGTGGCGAGGCAGGATTCCCATCTGCGTGCGCAGGGCCTGTGCTCCCGCAGCRCAGAGACGGTGTTGGATCTTCTGGTAGGGAAGAGGCTGGTGTCAGGAGCGGGAGCAGCTGCTGCTGCGCGGGGGACAGGCTGCCGTGCTCCCTAGCAGTGTTTCTCAGAAGCCAAGGCAGTGGTTTTGGTGACTTCTTGCAAACGCTTCTGCTCATACTATGCACTGGATGGGTTATTGCTGTGCCCTCAGCTATTTGTTACGTATTACAGGGATTCTCTTGCCCTCCCRTTTCCTGTATGTCAGGCTCTCTGTCTTTTTTGCTCCTGCATTCAGGCCCGAGTGCCAGCAAGTGACATCATCCCGGGTCCATCTGCCTCCTGCTCCCCGCTCTTGCCTCTTCCAGGCCTCCATTGCTGTCCCCTGCAGCGAAGCTGCTTGTGGCCTCCCGGCCTCCCCACACCGGAGGCTTCAGCCCTGCAGCCCCTGGGGCTCCCTGCCCTGCYGGGACGAGCAGACGCGGGGGAGCAGGGGGTGCCAAGTCAGCCACGTAGCCACGTCTGCGTTGGCTTCGCGCTCCGCTCCCGCCGGCTCCTGCCCAGCCTGGATGGGCTTTGGGGGCTGGCCGAGCTGTCGTGCTGCCGGCAGCCCGGTTCCCCCGCGCGCCGCGCTCGAGCTGGGGATGCACTTTGGCCTCCCTTTCCCAAGAGTTAAGATGCTGACAGACAGACAGGGAGGAGGAATCTGCTTGGGGAGGGGATGGCCAGGCAAGGCACAGATCAGCCCAGCTCCACTGTGGCCGGGGAGCGGGACCTCCACGGGTACCTGGTGGCGTGCGGTGCTGGGCTGCCCCATGCACCGTGTTCCGTCCCCAGATACACTTCTTTTTACTTCCAAGTGGATCACCAGTTGTACACGGGAACTATCGGCTCCTAAGAGCAGCTTGAGAAAAGGCAGTCCGAGCTGGGACATGAGCAGCCTCTCGCAGACAGCAGGGTCAGCCCAGGAGGTCACAGCACTACCCAAATTACCCGTATCTCATGTTCTTATTTRCAGATCAGCATCTTCATGACCCACCTGTCTAACTATGGGAACGACCGCCTGGGGCTCTACACGTTTGAGAGCCTCGTCAAGTTTGTGCAGTGCTGGACCAACCTTCGCCTGCAAACGCTGCCCCCAGTCCAGCTAGCCAAAAAGTACTTTGAGATCTTTCCCCAGGAGAAGAATCCCCTGTGGCAGGTGAGTGAGGAGGCCGCTTTGACCTCTGCTCGTGGTTCCCCACATTCAAGTCTGGAGACACTGCTGATCCAGAGCATGGAGCAGTGACACATGAGCCCTTTAGGTTTAACCTTTGTGGCTTGAGACTGCAAGTGTCAAATCACAGGGTGGAAGGGGATGGGGGAGCAGGGCCAGGAGGCCTAGGGACAGTGATTGCTGTCTGAGGGACCTGGCAGAGTTTGAAGGCATCTGGATGACTGAGGATCAGTGTGTGGTGTTAAGTGTGTGAGGAAGGACCCTGTTTGGTGCTGGAGAAGCTTATAGGCTCGTTAATGTGATTAATCTTAAAGTAATTTCACACCACAGACTTCATGTTCATTAAATAAAAACATGCTTATTTCATTGCGTCCCAGTGCAGAGTGCTCGGCATGGTAATGAGCAGATGAAATGAACTGGAGGTGATGGAGTTGTCCGTGTGCCAGGAGCTCCCAGCTGCTGAGCTGGGCTGCGCCGGTGGCCGCAGGGGCAGGGTCTGCACTTAGTGCTGCACGGGGACCTGGCCCCGCTGTCACTTGGGAGCTTTTGTAAAATGTTCCTGTGTGTTTTTAACTGAGCCTGCTTGATGCCTGGCAGAGGAGCTGCGTGTTGTGAAGTGCTCTTCATATGCTAATAGTGCATTCCCTGGAGGAGCAGCCTCCCAGCTTTTCCTACTCTTCCCATTGGCTCCTGCAGTAATAGTTAATCCCATCACTTGTGCTGCAGAATCCGTGTGACGATAAGAGGCACAAGGATATCTGGTCCAAAGAGAAAACCTGTGATCGGCTCCCCAAGTTCCTTGTCGTGGGACCTCAGAAAACTGGTAACGTGGATGCTTTATCTAAAGAGAATGTGCAGCTTCCGTCTCGGTTCCCTGGAAAGGGGAGCTGGAAAGGCCTGTAGTGTGGATCTGCAGGCTGCTCTTTGTGCAAGATTCCAGATGACCACAGAGGGTGTTTCAGAAAGCCTGAGAACAAATCTGTGATTTGTTCTGCCCGAAATCTGGCAATTTGGCCAGAATTTCCTGCGCCTTAGCACTCTGCTTGGATCAGCCCTGGTGCAGGGAACGACTCTACCTGCTGAGCTGCGTTTTGGCTCTTGCACAGGAGCTCAGAGAGGCAGCAGCCTTTCCGAGCTGGCCATGAGCCATGAGCCACAGGCTGCCAGCAGGACTAACCACGCACCCTAGTGCTTTCCTTGTGACAGATCTGTGTCCCCGCCACATGCCCCGTGTCCCTGGCGGTGGGAGGTCCTGATCCTCTTTGGTGTGAGCKCTGTCAGCACCTCCTGGCTGCTGTGCTGTTGTGGCTGGCAGCTGCACAGCTCCCCAGAAACACCGTCCCGCGGAGTCACACAGCTGAAGAGAGCAGGGTGGCTCCAGCTGCAACCAGGTCTTCAAGCCCTGGCTGCTCTGCAGTGCAGCACCAGGCGGGCACCGAGGGGGCTCCTGGTCCCGGAGGGGGCTCATGCCAGGCTGCTGCGGGCCGTGAGCATGGCCTGGCTGCCCGCAGCCCCACCGGCTGAGAACGCTCCTCCTGTCGGCTCCTTGTCCGGCACGGGAGCCAGGAACGGCCCCTGGCTGAGGGAAAGCGGCCGCAAGGAACGTGTGGGGCTGGGGGGCTGCACACGAAGCCCTCAGGTCACCGCGCGCTGCCTGTGGTGACCCAGCTCCTCTTGACTCCTCGTGCAGGCACAACGGCTGTGCACTTCTTCCTGACCATGCATCCCGCCGTCACCAGTAACTTTCCAAGTCCATCCACCTTTGAGGAGATCCAGTTCTTTAATGGRCCCAACTACCACAAAGGAATTGATTGGTAAGAATCATGGCTCTTCTGGGCTAAGTTGCACTCGTGTTGTCTCCTCCTGAGCCTCTCCGGCTGTACAGTGCCCACCTCAGCCTCCTTGGGTGCTGTAGCTCCTTGGTTTCTGAGCACTGCTGCAGTTCAGTGCATGCTCTCTGCTTTCTTCCTGTCCCTTCGGCTTAGTCCCAAGATCAGGACTGGTAGTTTCTGACTGCTGGCTAGAAGACTGATTTTTTCCTGATCTTTCCCAAGCCTTAAAAATGCAAAAAATCTTTGTTGAATCTATTGCAGTCATGACATTTCCTCTCCTTTGACATACAAACCAGACAATGGTGTTCTCTAAACATATGAACAGGCAGCTGATCTTGGTCAGCGCCTGGTCTGCTTTTAAAGGTATTTTTGCAAACCTGGAGCTTGCAACTTGTCCCCTACCCTTGTAGTGCCACTACGTCAGGACTTGAGGAGTGCACTSTGAAGAAAATAATTCCTTATCCCTTTTTATTGCTTCCTGCTTTYTCTCTTGTGCTCCCAGCCCCTTTCCAAGCCATCCTGTGCCAGAGCTTTGCTCTCTCACTGCACTGCTGGGGAGCCGTGTCTGCCTSTGCAAGGGCTCCCTTTGCTGTGTCCTGTTTCTCTCGGGCCGTGCTGCTCACCAGCCTCCCGTCCACTCGGCAGGTACATGGAATTCTTCCCCATCCCCTCCAATGCCAGCACAGACTTCATGTTTGAGAAGAGTGCCAATTACTTCGACACGGAGGTGGTACCRAAGCGAGGCGCAGCCCTGCTCCCCCGAGCCAAAATCATTACGGTTCTCATCAACCCGGCGGACCGAGCCTACTCGTGGTACCAGGTGAGCGCCCTGCACCAGCAGGGCCAGGGAGACATCCCGCTCAGGTGGGGCAGAAAGGGACTCCATTCCCACGGGGAGACCAGGGGCTGCCCTCAGGTGTGGCGACACCGGAGCTCTTTGTCCTAAGAGCCAGTGGGGCAGCACAAAGACGCGTGTGTGGCGTGGGAAAGGGGTCGGTTTGTGCTGCTGCTCCCTAACTTGGCGTGTGTTTTGCAGCACCAGCGGGCTCACAGTGACCCTGTGGCGCTCAACTACAGCTTCTACCAGGTGATCTCTGCAGCCCCGCAGGCGCCGCAGGAGCTGCGCAGCCTGCAGAGCCGATGCCTGCTGCCCGGCTGGTACTCAGCCCATCTGGAGCGCTGGCTAACGTACTACCCGCCCGGGCAGGTAGGAGGCAGCACGTTAATGATGCCCTCACACTGCCGGCTTTGCCTGGGCTCAGGCAAAACCCTTGGGCCAGGGACTGACCACTGCAGGCTGGCTGGAAGTTGAGATGACAGAGTAGGGACTGGCCACTTGGAGCCCCTTGTTTGTTGAGTGCAAAGGAGAGGAAAAAYTCTTACTCTTTCTGTCAGTCTGTTTTCACCTTTCCCTTCACTTCTGGATTGAGAACCACTGCTCCCTTCCTGCTAGTATGAGGCARTGATAAGGCGGGGGCATGGATCAGGCCTGCAAACCTCAGTTTTTGTATTTTCTTGCATTTGTACAAAATCTCAATTGGGATTCAGACTCTGCCAAATGCTGAATAAAAGTAAACGTGTGCAGGAGGAGCCTGTGATCTCCCCRCAGCTCCATGCTCAGGGGAAGCCCAGGAGCAGCAGTGTGAGCATCCCCAGCCTTTCATCTCAGCAGCTGCAGCCCTGTGAGCCRCTTCAGGCCCCATGGGTGCTCTGCTGCTTGCTGGGGTTTTATTGCTTTAAAGCCAAAGTTTTGGACTCTGCCACGCGTGAGTTCCCATGCTGAGAAGCCTTTAGCCCTCAGGTGAGTGGAAATTTCACTGCAGATGTATCAGGATTCTCTGTTTTGTTTGTACATTTGCAGAAGATCAATTGCTATACATTATAGATCATTTCAGTTTCTAAATTCTCAGGAAATTTATAATCTAATGTGTTGTGGGCCAGGAAACACCTTTTTTCAAGTTCCTTTCTGCTAACAGTCTCTCATCCAGCAGATCTTTACACTTGTATTTAGGTAGTTATTCCCTGCAGAAGCAGCAGCCTCATATGATTGATCTGCCAAGACTAAAAGACAGAAGGGAAAACAAAGCAGAGTTTTACACCCCTGGTTACTGTCAGAGTAGGGCTAGTGCAAAACTGGTTTTTTGTCCGGGAATGCCTAGCAGAAACAACAGCTGAATGGTGCCCTGTCACCAGGAAAAGCAGCGGCAGGAAGGAGCTCCTCCAAGACATGGGCATGTGCAATCAGAAGCTGGTGGGTGTGTGAGACTGAGAATTAAGCATTTAACTGGTTAAAAATAGAGGAAAACAAAACAAAAGGTCGCCACCCTTTCTGGTATCTTGGCACTGACACACCATCCCCYGCATGGGACCGTGCTCTGGGTCAGCTCCCATCTTTCTCAGACTTTGGTTCATGTCACTGTTTGTGCACTGTGCTCGTTGGCGTAGGTAATCCACTAGCACAAATTATCATGCGTAGAATAGGAGAATAATCATACATTAGAGAGGAATTTATCCTAATGGGGCCATAGGCATCTTAGAAAGGACAGCTGCCCTGTCCAAAGACTAACTGTAATTCATGCTAGGGCAGGACTTTAGTGGCCAGCTGTAAGTCGTTTGGCCAAAGCCAGCTTTGCTAAGCAGAGCTTGCTGGGTGCTACTGCCTTGGGGTACGTGTTACCTGGTGGCAGCGTCTGAGTCCCTGGTGGCAGACGGGCCAAGTCTGTCYGGGAATCAGCAGTGTGTCCTGCAGGAGCTGCTCGTGCTGCAGCCCACAGCACCCTCGGGAGCTGGGATGCTTGTGGGTGTCCCTCGGTGTGACACACGCAGCAGCCCAGCCCTGCGCTGCCACCGGAGGCTGAGCAGGCCCTTCTCCTTGCAGATTCTCGTGGTGGACGGCCAGGAGCTGAGACACAACCCTGTCTCTGTCATGGACAGCATCCAAAAGTTCCTGGGTGTTACCCCACTCTTCAACTACACCCAGGCCCTCAGGTAAGGAAATGGGGCTCTTGTGGCTCTGTGTGAGACCATGGCCAGTAGTTATGGGGTTGATGGCAGGGCCAGCAGTTGCAGAGTGGCCTTGACAGCAGCCTTGCCCTCAGCACGTGCTTGGCTGCAGCCAACCCTGCGATGCAGAGMCCGACCCTCGCACGGGAGGGTGTGAAGAGTTCAAAGGAACTTCACGGTGCTGCCAAGCACGGGACTCAAAGCTTATGTCTGAGCACGTAACCTGCCAGTTTTTCAGCCCTGGGATGGACAATAGCTATGGAGTGTTAATCTCTGCTGTTACTCATGGGGCACGTGGCTGTACCTACTAAAGCTAAGTGCTCTTTTCAGATTTGATGAAGCAAAAGGATTTTGGTGCCAGCTGCTAGATGGAGGGAAGACAAAATGCCTGGGAAAGAGTAAAGGAAGAAAATACCCTGATATGGATGTCTCAGTGAGTAACCATCTACTGTTTGTTGACAGGTAGAGATATAGAAACTAGGGATACAAAGAGCCAACCTGGGTTTTGCTCCTGTCTGTGTCCTAGATGACCTATGGAGTGGTGACAGGAAGTAGAAAGGGTGGCATTTTATTTCATGCTCATATTATCTGTCTTTTCCACACAGTCACGGCTGTTCCTCAGAGACTTCTATCGGGAACACAACATAGAATTATCCAAGCTGATGAACAGGCTTGGACAACCACTTCCAACCTGGCTCCAAGAGGAATTGCAGAATTCCAGCTGGAGCTGAGAGGGACTCGCCCACCCCCAGTGCCACTGGGATGTGGGATGCTCCGCCGTGTGCTACGACGCGTCTCTAGTGAAGCYGAACAACTGGACAAATGAGCAGGAGCAGAGGAGGAACCCGCGTGTGGGGTGCCCCTCCGCCCTGTGGAAGGGTTACACGGATTCCTGCCTACAGGGAGGACTTGCTTAAAGCAGGAGGAGAGCCGCACCCTTCGGCAACCGGCACTGGCTGAAGGGCCAAGGCCCTGCTCCTCCGCGTCCACGGCAAGGACCTGAGCGCTGAGCCGGCTGCGGAGGGAAGCGCAGCAGCCTCACGGGAAGGATCCGGCCTGGCGCGCGGTGCCCGTGATCCCGGCGGCTGCTCCTGCTCGCGGGCAGGCGGAGCAGCACCCGGCGCGGGGCAGAGCCCAGGTACCAACACCCTGCACAAACCCGGGGCACAGCCCAGGTACCAACACCCACAACAAACACCATTGTTAGCATGGGCAGGAGGTGCCGGGTGCTGCACAGCTGCACAATGGGAGSGTCTCTGCAGGGATTTTAACCATTTCAGCAGCTCGAGCCTCGAGCAGTAACACTGACCCCCTGGCCAGGCTGCCTCAGGGCAGCACGGCGGCTGAGGGAGGCCRGAGCTCAGGTACGTGTAAGCTAAGGCTGATGCAGGTCAAGCCAGACACATCAGTTCCCCCTGTCTAATTAGCTTCAAAAAAGCAAGGTTTTTTTTTCTCTTTCCAGCAGCTCCAGGGCCCCTACCCGATACACTGATAACTAAAATCTGTTTAATCCCCCTGCAGGCCCACAGTTCAAGGAGAAAACAGGTAAAAGGCAGTATTGCTCGGAGCTGAAGGGAAGGCTCAGAGCTAGAAGTGCTTTCCTGGGGCCAGGGCGRGCGCTGCAGCGGCCAGCACAGAGCTCCACGGCGGTGCTTGGCCTCCTCCTGCAGCTGCTGGGGGGCCRGGCTCAGTGTAATTCCTCCTCACACATGTTCTCTCCTGCTGAGYGATGGCTTCCCAATCCTTTGGGCCAGCATCCCTGCCGGGCACAGAKGGGTCTCAAAGGTCAGTGCAGTCCCAGAGAGGGCAGGATCCATCGGAACACAGATTACAGCAACTTCCACCACCTTCATAGGCTCCTTTTCTCCTGCCAGAGGAGCGAGGCTGCTTCAAGCAAGCTTTTCCATTGAGCCTTAGGTATTGTGTATTTCTGAACGGTGCATTTACCATTGTATGTAAATGTATATAGTATGCAATATAATATTWTATTTCATGGGCCCTTGGAAAGGGTAATTTTGTGCAGCCAAAAAAAAAAAAAAAAAAGGACAGAAAGAATAGAAACCTCTCTCTCGTTCCTGTTAGAGAAGAGCCCACCATCCTGCACTGGATTCATGTACAGCATCATTCACATTGAATGATAATGAAGAAATTCTTGGCTCTCGAAGCTGAGCACAAGTGTCTGAATAAAAGCTAGAAGTAGTAGTAAGTGAATTCAATAAATGTACTACTTATTTTTCTTCTTTGTGACAGTTTGGAATGATGTCATGGGCTCTGGGCTGGTGGAGGGGGTTGAGGAAAACTGAAGAGGCTATTCCAGGTCCTAGAGCTAAAATTTGGGAAGGCAACAAAGGTGCTTTAACTGTAATATTAAGTTGTATTCCTGGCTGCAAAAAAAGTCCGTGGCCCTGGGCTTCCTTCCATGCACGTGCAGGCCGGCCRGAGCCAGCGCCGCGCATGCAGCCGACTCCGGCCAACGGCTTTGCACCAGTGATGACAATTCCCGAGCCCTTTCCAGCTGCCGCGGCCCTGGAATTTCCTACTCRGTAGTGACAGCGCTTGGCAGCCCAGGAGCAAGTAGCAGCTTTACATTCACCTGGCAATAAAACAGTGTTTAACTAGTCACAATTGCAACAACCTTATCAAACAGCCTTGCAGCTCTCGCCTTATCAGGCATTTCAGGAAGCAGCAGCATTAAGGGAGCAGGTATGTTTCCATGCTGCCACRGGAGGAGTCTCCCAGGCCTGATGCCATGATACTCCATTGAGCACAGAAGCTCCCTTGCTTCTCTTAATCCATTACAGGTTATCACTTGTCCAAGTGTGTGAGGTCCTCATCTCATTTAGCTGATGCAGAGCCATTTTAAAACCTGGACCCTCCCTCTGACATTACATTGCTGCAGAACAAGCCCTTCGAAGCCAGATCGCCCTTTAAAGCAGGCAAACCGCCTGCTCCTCAACGTAAAAGCTCTAAAACAGCTGAAGACCAACATGGGACATCTTTTCAGTGAGATAAGCAGAGTACCAGCTACTGRGCATTAGTCATTTACAGTACATTTCTCACCATTACACCTCATTTCAACTCAGGAAATTGCAAATAATATAACCTTCTTCCATCACTATTTGAGAGAGACTTTGTCATGGGAAATRGCTAACATTCAAGTCAAAGAAAAGCTCAGGAACAAAACATTACCTGAGAATTTAGGCTTGTAATGGATTAAGAATATTTTTGCCTGGTGGATAGCAAATATGCCTGCTCAAAAAGAAATAATTCGAGCCAGGTATCAGCCCTGCCTGCAGTTTTAATACAAATAAAGCTAGGGCAGTGCACAGACCCAGCAGTGTGGCTGAGCTGTAGAAACTGGCAAAGAGTAAGGAACAAGACGCTGCAAACCCACCTCCAGCCTCAGCAAAGGCAGCTCCGTGGATGAAACCGGGACCAGGGCGCCCGGGATCGGGGCCTGTGAGCAGGAGAGCAGCAACCGGAGCCTGCGCCGCTGCCTGGAGGTGCAGGAAACACAGGGCTGAGCTGGCAGTGGGCTCAGCTCCAAACACATTGTGGGGGATGGAGAGCATGGATGGGTTGGCCTGCTGCACCAGGGGTCAACTCCATGTGAAACCTCATACCTCAACACGCACGCGAGGACAGCGCTGGGAAGACACGGTCCTGGTAGAAACCCGCAGCTACTGCAAGGCTGAAAGAAAACCTCTTTATACTAATCTAAAACAAACCTCAGCAAATAAACTTTTTGTTTTTTTTTTTTTTTTTTTTTAATTATACATGTAAGTCACTTGGCAAGAAAATACTTAGCTTTCATACTGACCAAAAAAAAAAGAAAATCCCTACATAATTGTCCCCATTGTTTTGCTGTGCTGGCATTAAGAGGGCAAGTAAAGGAATGACAGCTAGACCCAACGGGTCTCTCCCGCCCCGCCAAGAGCTTGTGGAAGACATACGAGTAAACGCAGAGGCAAGATGACGCAGTAGGTCTCACGTTTCAAAAAAAAAAAAATGCTTTACAAGCTGGTTTGGCTACAAGGGAGCCACAGTGTAAGTGAGCAGGCTCAACACGGCCATCGCTGCTGCACTTGACTAYGCAGAAATAGATTTCATCTAGTTAATCTATTTTAGGCCTAGTGGGAGGTCTCACACACRCTCACAGCTTCATCAACTTCTTCCAAACACCTGTGGATCAGCACACGTGTCATTTTCTGATCCCTCCCCAGCAGTCTTAAATCCAGCTCAAGTCTACTTCATTTATGGTAAAAGATGGTCATAAATTGCACTGCTCCCAAAGTCTTGCAGCTATAAAGCCATTGGAAAGGTGCATTTCAGGAATGAAAACAACTCTTACCTTGCCCCTGAAGCCCTGCAAAACTATTGCCACCACTGTGACAAAAATACTACCCTCCAACTCCCAAACCTCAACAACGAACCTCTCCTAGTTGACTTCAAAATGAAGCAAAACAAAGTATGTAGTAAACTAATCTATAAAGCAAAATAAAGTACTCTGGGATCTTAAACTTTCCAGCTATCAGGCTGAGCTCTCCTTCCTTTCCAAAGTCAGTTTTGCCTGGGGCGGGGAAGCATTATGAAGCGGCTTAGTATCAAAACTTAACAGTTTTACAAACATCATTATTTATAATGATGTATACATCTTTAGTGGCATGTAACTAGACACTGACCCAGCTTACCAAGGAAGCGAAGGGGGTGTAAGGAGGGCTTTACCCGATTACTGTTGCACACTCAGACATACATGACCCTCAAGCACACCCTGCAGCCCTGCAGGAAGTCTAACCAAAGGAGCTGGTTCAGCTCTGTTGTCCAGCAAGGGCCTCAACAARGGGTTTTGGTTTTTCGTGTCAATGCAATCATATCATATATCATATCATATGCAATGAGGCATGTAAGTATAGCCTGGAACCAGAAATTCCCTACTGTCACTGGCTAAACCAAATAAAAAGCAAAACACATTACTGCAGAGAATTGTTAAGATCCATTAATCAGCTCAGCTTTTTGATTAAAAGAGCCTTGATACGTTTGTGCCTTTATACTTACAGACGGCAATACCAAGTTCCTTGGCATTAAAAAAAAAAAAGGATCTGTTTCTAAAATTAATTTCCCGTTGTCCCCACTGGATGTCCCAGGTATCCCAAACGTGGTGGGAGCCTCCTTCACTTCACAGCATGTGACAGTCACCTGCTGCACCCGGCCGGCGCCAAGGGCCGCTCACCTTTCCCATGGCCTCTCGTCCGGCCCTGCAGGTTCCTCAGGCTCTGCAGGGAATGTCGGTCTCGGAGCAGTGCCAGGCAAGGGATTTCTGGCTCGCAGCTGGCCGGAGAGCCTGGCCACCTACCTCGTGCTGGCCTGCAGGTCCTTGGGGCAGGACAGCCACGTAGAGGCTCTCACAGGAGCAGCCCTTGGCACTGGCCAGAGCCATCACACCAGCAACATCAGAGCAGAGAGAGGAGAGAGTCAGTCTAAGAAAACGAGTGTTTAATCAGGAAACGAGAAGAGACAAGGGATAAGAAAACGATTACAGGAGAGTAATACCCCAGCCAAAAGAAACACGATTGTACAACTCGGAACGACCAGGATCAGAGCATCCTAAGAGCCAGCAGTGCCCAGGGAGGGCCACTCCTGAGGACAAGCCCAAGCACTTCCAGCAGTCTCCAGGCAGCTCAGTGCAGTCCCGATCCCCACTGCCCAAGCTCCAGCCGCAGGGAGCCGCAGAGGTGGCCCTGGCCCTGCTGCTCCAGCCTCGGCCTCTCGCAGCAGGAGCTGCTGAAAGGAATGGAGGGAGCACTGGCTGTACAGAGCAGTCCCAGCCTCTCCCGACACGAGATGGTGTGTGGAGTAAGAGAAGCCCATACAAAAAAAAAAAAAAAAAAAAACCACATATTTATAAATGCCAAAATAAATATTTAAGACAGACTCCCCCACCCTCAGACACGTGTGCAATCACACTGCAAACTGCCCTCAGGCCGGGTCCAGGGGCGCCGGGAGAACAGCCACGACCGCGCCGCAGGGCAGCCCGCTCCACTGCCCTCTCATTTCCTGATGCTCCGGAACCTGCAGCCAACTGGGAAGAAGGAGGAGGAGCGAGCGAAGCAGAGTGCCAACACGCAACAGTGCTGGAGAGGAATGTCATGGAATAAATACATCAGATCAGTGGTTTCCAACAAGTTAAAACTAAAATAAAATAAAAAAAGACACCAGAAGGAAGGATGGTGTGAATGGAACTACAACTATGCGGGACGAGGGGCTGCACGTCCGTGGAGCTCCGCCTGCCGTCACGGCGAGAAGGTGGTCATTTCCAGAGAAACCCTTTGCCACAGCTCCTTGGTCTGCTTGCTGCGCTTTAGGTTCTGGAGAATATCGTTAAACTGCATCATGCCCATGGGAGTCAGGCAGAAGGCGCTTCTGGCGCTGCGGATGGCATTCACAAAGTCATCGTAGTCAGCTGGAGTAAGGTGGATCAGCCGGTGATGGATGTACTGGAGGGGGACAGGGAGAGAGCCTTAAGGCATTTGCTCACCACCCTGGCACTGGTAATAGGGCAGGGCTCTAGAGCTCCCAAGGGGACACTCGCGGGCTCCTGTTACTCCACAGCAGTCACAGGACTCAAGGGCTCTGAGAGGAGCAAGCTCCATTGGCAGCAGGGCTCCATTCCATGCTCCATTCCATGCCTACCATGGCTAAGGAGACCGTCCCCCCACAGCGCCCAAGCAGCTGCTCTCTCCTTCCTTCTCCTTTAGGAGCATCAGACCACAGCATAGTCCCGAGCAAAAGGGTCACCCAAAGGGCTTCACCATCACCCTCCTGCGTCCACCTCACACCATCAGTGCTGCAGACTGYGTACGCAGCGTGTTCGCAGGACAGCGCCTTGGCTAACGGGTATGGCAGCGGGCAGGCTCACGCTGAGCTGTTACCAAGCACCTCTAGACCTAGCACTCTGGGGCAGAATCTGCCACTTAGCTGGGTTTCTCAGCTAATGCCCCCAAACTGCAGCTCAAGCCTCTGAAAAAAACCCAGTTCCCTAAAGCAGCTCAGAGAAGCAGCTCAAGCAAAGCAGCTGTGAGGGCAGTTATGCAGCTGTGATG